GGATTAAATTTTATTTTGCTATGTGTTTTAAAATCGTTCAAATAGTAGTTTATATTTAGATAGTTGGTTTGTTTTTTTTTCTTATATGCAGTGAACATCTGTTTTATTTTTAAAAAAATCTCTAGCCTCATGTGCCTCCCCATTCCTCGCAAACATGCGCACAGAAATAGAGGTTTCCTGTTAACTACACAAATGAAGATTTGTTTATTTAATTGCAAGCTAACCTTTTATGGCTTCACCTAAAAATCAAGCATGCCTGCAACATTGAAAATAGGAGCAGAAGTAAGCTATTCAGCCCCTCAAGCCTGCTCTGCAAGTCAAATCATAACCTAACTCTCACCACAATCTTCTCAGGTAATAAAACTTTTCAAATTAGAGGTTCTACAGATTTCAAAGTAATGCGCATTTCTCTTCTGGTTTCAGGTTCAGAAGTTCGACAGAGTGAAGTTAAGATGGAGCCAACCTTTGGAAACATGGGTTCAACTATGTTTTTTGGAAATCAGTTTACACAATCCCAGAATGGGCCCAAAATTGGTTTTGTATCAGTTGCACTTACTCTGACTCCATCAGCTGCTGAGGTAAGACTTGCCATTTTCATATAAAATTTGGTAAAATATTTTTATGAATATTTTGCATTTTTTGCTTTTGGGAATGATAAGCTTTATAAAATACAAGCTAACCAATGTAATATCCCTCTCTCAACATGAAATGTTAATCTTGTTTCTAAATTTTTCAAATTGTTATACCAAAGCAGCAAACATATCTCCATCTTTCTCCACGTTGCACATGATGTTCAACGACTTTTGAATGATAAAGTACATCCATTAGCCAATATAGATATAGACACTAACGAATAAACACAAAAGCTTATATAAAATATATACATACAATATATATATCCTGTGTATCTTTTCTTTAGGATATTAATGGTGTTGTAGCAAGAGTGGCTGACTTCCTACACATTAAAGTTCCTAACAGTTATGAGGTCAGCAGTGCACCTGAACCACCTTCAATGCCTTTGATTAATGCTTACAAATTCACCCAAGCCTTGGAGAGCAGACCTTCACTAATGGCTCAAGGTTCTCACCCTTGTTTTACTGGCCCTATCAAGATTATGAGACCTGTTGGGCCTACCAGCCTACCATATATGATTCCTGCCAGTGGTAAGTCTGTATATTGTGTCACTACTGCTATTGGCAATATGTCTGCTGTGTGGAAATTTCTGCCTACTTTTGTTGTGGTGATGTTGAGGGAAACAAGTCATGAAATTTTTGTAATATTGATATACACTAAACATTTTCATTAGAAAAGGGACAAATGCTCAGGCGATCATATCTTAACAGAAAATCTGCACACTGAGGAAGATGGGTGAACTTCTTAAGAGTTTCTGTAACGTTGATGTATCCAGAATATAAAGCATGATATCTTCAAATTAAAATCCACGTAGTGGTATTTTAAAACATCCAGCAATTCATTAAAGTTTAGTTACATTTGGAGATTTTGCAGAGTAGCCGGCAATAATCTAAAATAATCGGCTGACAAAAACAAGTTGTAATATTCTGCCAACTGTGTACAACTAATTCTAGGCAAAATGTTCAGTTAATTAACTACAGTGTTCTGGGACTTTTTCATGGATTGTACAACTCTGAACACCTGCACCTCATAGTGTATGTCAGTTGACAGGTTAGCTGTCCCCTGCTTGTAAGTGTCACAGCCCAGACCAGGGAAGATTCCTTCTTTAGCCTTCCACGGATTAAATGACAGTGAACAAAAACCAATTCAAGTGCGTGCTTCTGTTGGGTAGAGGGTGTGTATCAGTCTATCTGAATATTTAGAAGTATGCTGATTGTATCAGTTTTGTAATGATCTGCTATAGTTTTTCAAAAACATTACATGATGAACTCTACTGAATTTAACATGTTGAGAATGTGATTGTAAATGCATGGGAAGTTGTTTTTACTTCTGTAGCCTGGTGTGTGCTATTTTCTTTCTATTCAATTAGCATTGCTGTGTCCCCCCCATAACAGGCACAGTGGCACTCAAAGCAGACAATCGAGCAGTCATGAACAGCTCTACCAGCTCGAAACCTCAGTGGTGCCGTCATTGTGATGTTGTGGTGCTTGGTAATGGTGTACGGAAGACGGTCACTGATCTACCATATATCAAGCAGGTATGTTTTTCTGTGATCAATCATTTTTGTTGCAAAATTTGCTGCACAGACTTCAAATCTTTGACTTATTATTAATTCATAAGATTTGCTTTACAGGGAAAGTTATAAAATTTGGGACATTGCTAGGAATGACTTTATTTCTAGATAAATTTGCTTATGATGTAGCCCCTGAAAAGGATATTATCTGTTGTTTATATAAATCTATTCAGTACAGTCACGTGTCAATATAAGAACAGGACCGTGGTTTACTCTGATGCAGTTTAAGAAGTGATCGAATGTTATTACATGAATAAACAAGAGTAATGAAACTGAAGTAAATGTATTAATAATTCAAAGCATTTTCCTCCAACAGTACAATATGCTGGATCAGGGAGGTACTACATATTGATAGACTGCTAGTATTGTAATTCCGAGTTGTTCATAGTCTAAGGGACGATGAGTCTAACGCATAGTGCTAATTTCACTCAATTGGTAATCCAGAGCCCTTGACTAGACTATGGGGATACTGGTTCAAATCCTAGCGAACCAGATGGATTTTACAACAATGTCTTTTTTTATTCATTCGCAGGATGTGGGTCTGAAGTCAGGTAAAGTCAGCAGTTTCCTCCCCTAAAGGGCATGAGTGAACCAGCTCGATTTTCCCAACACTGAGCAACAGTTTCATTGAATTCATCTGCCATGGTGGAATTTGAACCCAAGTCCCCAGAACATTACCTGGATCTCTGGATTAATAGTCCAGCAATAATACCAGTAGGCCATCACCTCCCCTGTAGAGATCTTAACTTGGTCTGGTCTAAATGTGGTCTTGGGCCATGGGTTCGAATCCCAGCATGGCCGATGGTGAAATTTGAATTCCATTAAATCTGGAATTGAAAGCTAGTCTAATAGTGATGAACATAACCATTGTCATTTTCTGTTTTTAAAAAAAGCAAAACTCTGGTACACTAATGTCCTTTTGGAGATGGAAATATGCCATGCTTACCTGATCTGGATTGTGTGTGACTTGAGAATCATACATCACAAAAAAGCACCCTTGGCCCACCAAGTCTGTGCAGACCTATCTGCACTGAACCCATTTTCCAGCACTTCACCCATAGCCTTGAATGTTATGATATTTCAAGTGCTCATTCACATTTTTTTAAAGGTTGTGAGGTCTACTATCCTCCCAAGTAATGTATTCCAGATTCGCACCACCATCCGGGTGAAAATATTTTTCCTCACATTCCCTCTAAACCTCCCACTCACCTCCTGACTCCTCAAAGCCTGTCCACCATCTACAAGGCACAAGTCAAGAGTGTGATGGAATACTCCCCACTTTCCTGGATAAGTGCAGCCCCAATAACACTCAAGAAGCTTGACACCATCCAGGACGGAGCAGCCCGCTTGATTGGCACTACATCCACAAGCATTCACTCCCTCCACCACCAACGCTCAGTAGAAGCAGTGTGTACTATCTACAAGATGGACTGCACCTTCCAAACCCACAACCACTTCTATCTAGAAGGACAAGGGCAGCAGGTATATAGGAACACCACCTCCTCCAAGTTCCCCTCCAAGTCAATCATCAACCTGACTGGGAAATATATCACCATTCCTTCACTGTCACTGGGTCACAGCAGGAGGACTGCAGTGGTTCAAGAAGGCAGCTCACCGCCACCTTTTCAAGGGCACCTAGGGATGGGCAAGAAATGCTGACCAGCCAGCGATGCCCACATCCCACAAATGAATAAAAATAAAGGATATGGGCCAGGAGCAGGCAGGTGGGACTAGTTTAATTTGGGATTGTGTTTGGTTTGGGATTATGTTTGGACCAAAGAGTCTGTTTCCGTGCTGTATGACTCTGACCTCGATTAATTCCCCCTCATCCTTCTCTACTCTGAAGAAAACAACCCACGCCTATCCAGCCTCTCTTTATAGCTAAAACGCTACAACTTGGGTAACATCCTGGTGAATATCTGCACTCCCTGCAGTACAATCACATCCTATGATGTGATGACAAACTGCACACAGCACTCCAGCTGCAGCCTAACCAAAGTTTTGTACAGCTCCAACATTAACCTCCTTGCTGTTATAACCTATACCACGAGTGGTAAAGGCAAGAGTGCCATATGCCGCCTTAACCATCCCATTAACTTATTCTGCTGCTTTCAGGCATCTGTGGACGAGAACCTCAAGATCCTCTGCTCCTTTTAGCTTCCTAATGATCAGCCATTCATGGAGTACTCACTTGTGTTACTACTTCCACGGTGCATCACCTCTCACCTTTTTCATGATTAAATTCCATCTGCCATTGATCTGCCGTACTGACCAATCCATCTATATCTTCCTGTAACCTAAGATCTTAGTCCTTACTATTAACCACCTAGCCAATCATTGCATCACCTGGAAACATACCTCTCCTTGCCCCTGTATTCTCAAACAGCCCTTACACACATCACAAACAAAAAGGGACCCAACCGTGATCCCTCTGTTATGCCAGTGGTCAGTAGTCTCCATTTACACAACAGCCTTCTACTACCACCCTCTGTCTCTTCCCACTAAGCCAATTTTGGATCCAACGTTACCCTGATCCCATGTGCTTTTACCTGTTTTATCAGTCTCCTAGCGTTGGATCTTGTCAAAGGTTGTCTAAAATCCATGTTATTCCTCATCAAACCTCGCCTCTCCAAGTGGAGGTTAGTTCTCTCCTTCAGAATTTTCTCCACTAACTTCCCTACCACTAATAAGTCTCGCTTGTCTGTAATTCTTTAATTTATCTCTACGACCCTTATTGAAAGGTGGAACCACCTTAGATGGCCAGAGAGAAGTTAAAAATTTGTGACAGTGCCCCTGTTATGTCTTCCACAGCAGCCTGGGATACAACTCATTCAGACCCTGGGATTTGTCCATTTTTAAGCCCACCAACCCCTCCAATGCCTCCTCATTCCCTATGTCAAAAGTGTGGTTAACTGTCAACTGCCCTCTGCAATGGCTTATTAAACCAGTCAAGGGTAACATATTGGATAGGCAACAAAGCTTGTCAGTGGTGCACACATCCCTAAAAGAATGAAAAAGAACTGAAAAGCTAGTTTATGCTCATTCTAATCACCTTATAGTGAGCGTTGAAATCAGCAAACTGCTTGCCTGGTCTCTTTTTTTTTTGATTTGATTTCTTTATTGCCATGTGTACCTAAGAAGAGTGAAAAGCTTTGTTTACGAGCAGTACAGGCAGATCATAGTAAGCAAGGGCATACAGATCATGGGGTGGTTAAAAAAAAACGTAGACAAAGGCATACAGGTTACTTTGCACTGGCTGTGCGCTAGGCAACATCAGCAATATTTGAAGATAGAGAATCCATTCATCAGTCTAATAATGATCAGGAAGAAGCTGTTCCCCTAACTGCTGGTGCATGTGTTGAAGCTTCTGTATCTTCTGCCTGACAGAAGAGGTTGTAGGAGAACATTACTGGAGTGCGATGGGCCTTTGATGTTGGCAGCCTTTCCACGGCAACGAGCCATGTAACTAGTGTCTATGGATGGAAGTTTGGCTTCCATGATGGTAGGGCCTGTGCACGCCATCTTCTGTAGTTTCTTACGGTCCTGGGCAGAGCAGTTGCCATACCAGGCCATTATGCAACCGGATAGTATGCTTTCAGTGGTGCATCTGTAAAAGTTGGTGAGGGTCATTATGGAAATGCCAAATTTCCTGAGCTGCCTGAGGTAGAAGAGGTGTCGTTGTGTCGTCTTGACTCTCTCGTCTACACGGGAAGTCCAGGACAGATTATTGGTTATTGTCACTCCTACGAACTTGACGCTCTCCACCCTTTCAACCTCAGCTCCATTGATGTAGATGGGGGCATGTTCGTCTCCTCCTCTCTCAAGTCATTGATCAGCTCTTTAGTTTTACTGATGTTGAGAGAGAGAAGTTGTTCTCAATGCACAATGTCACCAAGCCCTCTGTCTCCGTTCTGTATTCTGACTGGTCATTGTTAGATATCCATCCTACCATGGTGGTGTCATCAGTAAACTTATAGCTGGCATTCATTTGGAATTTGGCAACACAGTCATGGGTGTATAGGGAGTAGAGTAGAGGGCTGAGGACGCATCTGTGGGGGGGCTCCAGTGTTGACTGTTATCGTGAAGGAGTTGCAGTTGTCTGTCTTCACTGACTGTGGATCAGAAAGCTGAGGATCTATTTGCAGAGGTGTCGGCATTTTGAGATCAGTTTGGAGGGGATAATGGTGCTGAAGGCAGAGCTGCAGTCGATGAACAGGTGTCAGGTGTAGGTGGCCTTGTTGTCCAGACGTTCCAGGGATGAGTGCAGGTCTAGGGAAATGGCATCCGTTGTGGACCTGTTACATTGGTAGGTAAATTGTAGCGGATTGAGGCAGGCTGGAAGACTAGAGTTGATGTGGGCCGTGACCAGCCCTCCTGCCTTGATGTACATCCAAATGATTTTTGCACTGGGACTATGAAAGCAAGCCTGTCTCAAGCTTTGGTTGTATGACCAAGTAAATTGAAAATTTCCAATAGAAAGCTAGTTAATTTCGAAATGTAATTCATTGAGCAGAACAACTTATATTTGGTGTTAAGCAATCCCATATGCCACCCAGTTACCTAGCTATGAACATCAGATCACAATCCTGTGAAGACCTACAGTATTAGCCAGAGAATGGTAATGGGAAAGCTTCAGTGAGAATAAGTTTGAATATACAAAGTTAATGTCATATTCTTAGCAACAAAAGGAAACCTGGAATCTCATTGAGGCTGGCTGACAGTGCTTCAAGGTATAATGGAACTATTAGCCAATGACATGGGAAACACTAATGACCTATCCCCTAAAGAGAGTGAAGAGTTTACCGTCATCATAAGGTCAGAAATTGTGGCTTTTGCTAATGTTTGCTCTATGTTCAGATGAAGTTGGATCTTCTGCCTCTCAGCTGATCAAATTGGGACATGTTTGACAATTACCTTTGATGAATAGTGATGCAATCCAGTAAAGTTGCAGAACTTATGGGCAT